TGTGTGTGTGTGTGTGTGTGTGTGTGTGTGTGTGTGTGTGTGTGTGTGTGTGTAGGGGGGGGCTTTGGAGGGGGCAATCTCTTGGCAGGGAATTCCTGCTCAGATTGGACTTGGTCACTTCTGAAAATTCCTTCCATCTCTGAGGTTTTACAATTCCTTTACATATGGCACATCTGTATACATACATATACATATGTAGCTATCCCTTTTATTAAAGGATCATCTCCATTACCCACATATGGTTCCCAGGTATCTGTTGGTATTGCCCTGTCTCAGCAGATAGAAGCCACCTTAATTGTATGGAACAAAGGAGGGCTTGGAGGGGATATGAGTCAATGTCCCCAGGAATAGTGGGGGCAGTCAGTGCCACCCTGTCTAGACAGTTCTCTAAATAGGGCACAGCAGGGCAAACGTAGCCCCACATGCTCATGAACCATTCTGAAACCTACCTGATGGGTCTCATTTTAACCCCAAGTCATACACAGCCCCCAGACAGACCCAGTGCTCACCCACATCATTACCCACCAACACACAGCACTGGCTCCATAGTGATGTCCTGTTCTTATCATCCATTGGCTGGGATTAGCAAAATTAGCAAATATTAGTAATGCCAAACTGTACTTCCAAAAGGTTTTCCTATCCATTCCCTCCTTCTAATCTCACAGCTGCTTTGGGCAAAAGGGAAGACAGGCTTGATGATTTTCATTTTGGAGGCAAAGGGCAGCCAAGTGGCCTGTTGGGGATTCTGCCCCTGGTTAGCGGTACTCCTGATTCTTTGGCTCTGAGGAGGAAGGAGGGAGGCAGGGAGGCTACAGAAAAGACCACTAGCCAAATGGATGCCAGGGTTTCAAGTTAATTCAATTGAATGACAAACATTTTATTTCTAAGCCCCCTTTTTTAGGTACTGGGGCTACAAAGATGGAAAACTTTCCAGTTCCTGCCTGCATGGAGATTACAATCTAATGGGGTAGGGAATACAAGTCTACAAATAAGTGCCATACAAGGTACGGTGTGATGAAGGTAAAGCTGTGATCCAGACAGGGTATTTTATGAAAACTTAAGAAGGGAGAGATCCCTTTCAGCTGGAGGAGAGGGCAGTCAGGAAAACTCTTCTGGAGGAGGCAGCTCCTAAGCTGAGTCAGGAAGGCAGAGAGGAATTCCACCAGGGAGCAATCATAGGCTTGTGGAACTGAGATGGTGTGAGGCAAGAGGGCCAATGAGGGGGGCGGGTGAGTTGTCTGCTTTGGTGGTAATATACAGTGTGTGAAGGGAAGTAATGTAAAATAAGGGTAGGGTCAGGCTGTAGAGGGAAGACCTGGAATGTTGAGCTAAGGCGTCTGGCTTTTTCTGAGAAACAAAGAGGAATTACTGATGTTTAATGAGTGTGTGGATAGGGCAGGGGAAAAAGGGTGACATGGTCAGATTTGGGCCTTAGGAAGACTATTTTGGCAGCTAAGGGGAGGATGGACTGGAGTGGAGACAGACTAGAGGCAGGGAGATCAACCAGGAAACTACTATAATAGTAAAGGTGTGAGGTGATGAGGGCCTGCCCCAGGGTGGTGACTGGGAGTGGGGAGGAGACAGAGTTGAGAGATGTTGGGCTGGGGTAGAATCATTTGGACTGACAGCTGATTGTGGGGAGAAGGAAAAGGAGAGTCAAAGATGACGGAGGTTTTGTTTCCAGGTTAATGTCAGGATAGTGGTGGTGACAGAAATAGGAAAGTCTGGAGGAGGGCCAGGTATCAGGGGAGATGAGTTTATATGGAACTGTTGAGTCTGAGGTGTAGGTGGGATATATAGGTGGTGGTGTTTAGCAGGCAATTATAAATTCAGTGTAACTTGTACTGGGGGCCAGGGAGGGGAGTATAGGAATGGAAGATCCTTGAGGACAGGGACTATTTTGTACTTGTGTATTCCCACAACCTTCCACAGTGTTTGGCACATAGTAGACACTTATTAAATGCTTATTGCTAGAGAGGTTGGTCCCATGAAGACTATTGAACAAGGCACAACCCGACTCAGCCCAGAAGAGTGGATTAGAAGGGCAGTGCTTTGATGTCAGTACAATATTCTTACTCAATAGATTTTTAAGAAGGGATCCAGTTGGAACGGAACCGGGAAGGAATCTCCAAAGTCAAGCTTTCCAAATCTGATATATCCTACACATCAAAGCTCTGAAAAGCCTATAGACATTCAAAAGTCAAGTTCCCACCAGGATGTAAATATCCCTCCCCACCCTCCACCCCACCCTTATTGGCCCTCACAGTTAGCATTCGAATGCCCCCTATACTAGGTGTTGAGGAGTTCCTTGGGGCTGGGCAACTACCACATGGACCCTATTATGTGAATTTCAGTGACCTTCAAAAACCCCAATGGAATGGAAGAGAAAGAACACCGTTCATTGTCTCTAACCCCAGCATCCTGGTGGGCTCTGTTGGCTTTTTCCATGATAGTAGAAGACTTAGGTATTAGGGCACCATTGGCCTCTGGTCATCCGGTGTTTTAGCAGCTGAATGAGCCAAGCATGGGCCCAAGGTGGGTAGCCAGGCCCAACAACAGCTATGGGTATTGGTGAATCATTGAGCAAACCCAATTTGACTCCAAGTAGATTCATTTGAGACCAAGGGACTCTTCAGGAAGCCCCACGGCAACTAGGAATGGGGGAGTAGAGAAGGGGTCCAATATAGCCAGTGCCAAAGGACCCAAGGTGCCAAGCTGTAACCTTTCCACACTGGCATCCATCATCAATTATCTACCCTGAATTAGACTTGCTCATTCCCACCTCTCTACCATTCCAAGGGTCTGATTGGTTCCTGAACAGAGCATTTTACAAAACAGATACTTCTGCCAGCTAATGGAACCATTCAACATTCCTCCCACTGCAGGCCTGAGGAAATGTTGGCTAAGCCCCTGATGCCAATATTAACCTTCATTAAGTGCTGCCCTTCCCACCATAGGGGTGTCCCAAAGACCTCAGCTGGCACATAGAGGAATGGAGTGGCTGGCGACTTGTACCTTGGGTATGGAGTGGATTCTAAAGCATGGAGATGGAGTCACAGAGACAGATGACAATGCATGGCTCATAACTGAGTCACCCTGTTGGGCAGGTTGTATCAATCTCAGCAAGTGAGTGGCTCTCGAGGGCGGGGCCCTGGGTTTCCTCCTGACTCTTCACAGTGATGACGCCTAGCCTTTGGTGACCAGAAAGGCCATTCCCTTCACATGGTCACTGAGCTCAGACCTTTTGCTGCTGGTCACCTAGGGGAAGTCAGGGCTTTAGCCTAAAGGCCTAGGCCCAAGAGTGACAGGGAGGTTCTGGGGGCACTCTTTTCTTTTCTTTTCTTTTCTTTTTTTGGTGAGGCAATTGGAGTTAAGTGACTTGCCCAGGGTTATACAGCTAGTAAGTGTCAAGTGTCTGAGGCCAGATTTGAACATAGGTCCTCCTGACTTCAAAGCTCTATCCACTGCGCCACCTAGCTGACCCTCTGGGGCACTCTGCAAATCAGCTAAATGAGCTGCTTTCTATTTGAAAGTACCAGGCTAGGCCCTGCTGGCTTCTCAGAAATTTCCAGTACCTCAACTCTGTTTCCTCAGAGAAAATCTGTTCCATTCTCCCTACTGGTTGGGAGTTTCCCCTTGAAGTCTGTATCTGGACAAAGTGACGAGTTAGGGTGCAGTCCTGGTTTAAAAGGAAGACCACCAAATGGTCTCTTTGAATCTGCCCTCTATAAAGGCATATTGCTAAGGCAGAATTAGAGAAACTCTCCTTTCTCCCACTGTCCCACCCCCACCCCCACCCCCACCCACTCTTTGAACCCTTCAGTGATTCCCACCCACCTATTTGTGTAAAGTCCATGCTTTCAAGGCCCTCTATAATAGGGCTCCAATCTACCTTTTCAGTCTTCTCTTTCACTACTCCCTATCATTTATTTTACATTTGAGCCAAGCTGGACTGCACTTGATTCCCTGATCTTGTCCTGTCCATTAGCCACACTGTCCTCCATGCATAGACTAGACCTCTCCTTGCCCCTGTCACCTGCTCTGTTGTTGAAGACCAAGGCTTAGCTCAGGAGCCACCTCCTCCATGCAGCCTTCCGTGATAGCTCCCTTCTCAAATTGCCCCTGGCACTTTGCACTGTGCTTTCTACTTCTCTCATTCTGCCTTGGATTCATTTCTCTAGGTCCATATCTTTTCTTCCCAGTAGGTGGTAAGCTTCTTGAGGGCAAAGACAGTCATTTTCCACCTTTGGATCCCCAGGAAAGGACAGGGTACCCTGCACCTAGTGGGCACTTACATTCTCTGCTCTTGAATCTCTGACCCTCTTGCCCTGTTTCCATTCTCTTGCAAAGCCTCGGTCCTGGGTTCCTGTCACCAGTGGCCTTCTCTACTCCTATCTAAGTTACTGAAGGAAGCTAGAGATAGTCCCACAACCATGTTGACTGTGTCCATTACAAAATCCTGCCTCACCTGGGCCCTCACTGCAGCAAGGCAGTTCTTTTATTTCTCTCAAGTTGATTCCCTCTGTCACACCCCACAGAAGCTATTCCAAGCCTTCTCTTCCTTCCTCAAGCCCCTATACCACCACCTCCTTCCTCTCTTAGCTAAGGACTTTGTCTCTTACTTTACAGAAAAAAATGGAGGCCATTTGCCTTGAGTTTCCTCTTCTCCCACTCTTTTCATCTCCAAATCCCTTGACTTTGTCTCCCTATCTTTCTTCCTTTCCTCCAGTCTCTGACAAAAAGGTCACCCTGCTCCTTGCCAAGGCAAACTCCTATATATGCTCTAGATCCTCATACCCTTCCTTCTTCTAACAGATTGCGTCTCAATCGTCTCTCCTCCCCCAAATCTTCAACCTCTCCCTATCAACCATTTTCTCCCCTAGGGCTTTCAAATATGCCTCAGTCTCTGCCATCCTTAAAAATACCTTCACTATACTGACTTTCCCTTAAGCTATTATACTATATCTCTCCTCCATTTCCTAATTACTCTGCTTGGGAAAAGGTGTCAACACTTCACTTCCTCTCCTCTCATGATTCTTCAACCCTCAGCAATCTGATTTTCACTCAACTGAAACTGCTCTCTCCAAAGTAACCAATGATTTCTTAATTGGCCAATCTGGGCATCTTTTCTCAGTTCTCATCTTGTACCTTTCAGCTTCCCACCTATGTGAAGCTCCTTGTCAGTCTCCCATGCGGGCTCGCCAGCCACTTCTTGCTTCCTAACTGCGAGTGTTGCCATGGTTTTCATCATGTCCCCTCTTCTCTTCTCCCTCTACATTTTCTCTCTCGCTAACCTCATCAGCTGCCGTGGGTTTAGCCTCCCAGGTATACCTACATATCCCGTCCCCACCTCTCCCTTGAGCTCCAGCCCCACATTAGAAATTCTGAACCAGATGTCCCAGAGACATCCTCCACTCAGCAACGTTAAAGCTGAACTCATCGTCTTCTTGCCCACCCACCCTCCCCTTTTCTAAACGTGCCTATTTTTGTCAAAGGCACAATCATCTTTCCAGTGTCTCAGGCTCATAATGTCAGCATTATCCTGGATTCCTTTCTTTCACCTCTTATATCTAATCAGCTTCCTAATCCTGCCCTTTCTACCTTCACAATGTCTCTCACATCCAACCCCTTCTCTCATAGCGACCATCTTAGTTCAGGTCCTCATCACTTCTCCCCTAAGCTACTGCAGCAGCCTCCTAAGTCTCCCCCTATTCTACTCCACCCTACTCACTGCGGTCAAAGTGATTTTTCTTAAGGGCAAACCTGAGACTCTCCGGCTCAGTCTACTCCAGTGGCTTCTTTTTGCCTCTAGGATAAAACATAAGCTCCCCTCTTTAGCTTTTAAAGCCACACACAACCTGGTGCAGTAGAGTCCTCGTCTTTCTTTAAGACACAGATCAAGTATCATCTTCCCAATGAAGCTTCTCCTGGTCCCCCTCCCCCTCCCCCAAATGCTAGTGTTCTTCCTCTCAAACCACCTAGTATTTTACTGCTTCATATATATTTTCATTTATTCACTTTATGTTGATGCTCTGTATGCTTATATATGTACTAGTTGCCTTTCCCATTAAGATATAAAGTTCTTGTGAATATACCTTATTCCATTCTTTGTCTTGTAGATCCAGGGCATAGAACCCTGTCTGGCACACAGTAGATGATTAATAGACACTCAAGGATTGACTGTTGAATTGAGCTGTTTCCTCAAATGATCACAAAGCTTTATTCAAAGGTAAACCCAGTATTTCCCATTTTCAGTTGGGTGGGCGGGGCTGCCTAGGATGTCTTAGCCAGTTAGTAATGCAAGCTGTTGAGAGCCATCAAAATGTGCTCTTAGGCAAAGCCCTGAATTCCAACGGGAATTCAGCTGGTGGAGGTCAGGTGCATCAGTTCTATCTTAATCAGAACAGACTTAGTGAAATGCCAGGCATAGCCAGGGCTTTTGGTGGCATTTCTACAGACTGTATATAGCACATCAGCTTCAGGGACACACCCTGAGGGGGCTTTTTGTAGGCTATAAGTGAGCAGAGAGCCAGCCCACAGCCGGTGCAGGGACTGACCCTGCACGTATGCAGAGAGCTAAATCCAGAGGTGGAGGAAGAGGGAGATCAGTTACAATTGGGGGGTTAAATAACACTTTCAATGAGCCCAAGCTTTGCCTTAAAACCAAAAACCCTTTTTTAGTACCAACATTCTTCCAAAGATGCCATATGGTGGCTGCTACAAACCAGAGAACACCCCCAAGATCTCTAAAGACTCAGAATTATGGGTCACTCAAAAGGCAATAGAGAGACACATGATGGGGGGGGTGAGTTAATGGACTACAACTTACAACCAGTAACAAATGACACCCAAAAAGTCACACAAAAGGCATTGTCAAAGAGGTATATGGCTGGAAAGGGAGGCAGACAGATCATGTGGCCAGAGTGAGAAATAACTGATAGACATACTAAGAATGGCACTGGTACCCACAGAATGCTAAGAGGCCCATGGCAAGGGTGCCAGCATATTGGATGAGTCTCCTATGCAGGATTTTGAGAGTACCTGAACAAGAGTCCCACAGGATGAGAAGGCGTGGCTTAGGTGAGATCTGCACCATTGGAGGAAGTACCTACATCAGCGAATCTCAGAAGCACTGAGGATGAGCAGTGACACTTCACCTGAGGGTGTGACCCTTTGATAACTTATCCAAGGAGTTGTTTCCAGTGAGCTATAACTCACAAAATGGCATCCCATTGGAGTTAAAGGGGACCCGGGTGTACTAACACTTTTGTGGTTCACATGGATTATCCCCACCATCTACTCTTCCAAAGAACCTTGGAATTCCAGAGCTAAAAAGGATCTTGGATGTCATTTAGGCCAATCCATACCTGAAGTGGTAATCTTTATGACATCCTCTGCAAAGGGTCATCTAGCTTCTGTTTGAAGGCCTCCAGGGACAAGAATCAGCTCTAGCATCCCATTGCTGGACAGCTCTAATGATTAAGAACCCCAGTCTAGGTTGCAGGCATGAAGTGAATGCCACTGATGCCTATGGCATCAATCTGCAGACCAACCTTCCACTTGACCACCCAGATTTCCCCATCTTCTTCTGGAGAAAGAACCTCAACCCCAAGGATCATTTCCCACTCAATACCATGACCTCAGCATCATGGCCTACTAGAAAGAACTTTGGAGTCATAGGACTTCAGTTCCGCACTTGGCTTTACTACTTAATGGCTGTGTGACCTTAAGCAAGTCCCTTCCCCTCTTTGGGCCTCAGTTTTCTCCTCTATGAAATGGGGGAGATGGACTAGATGACCACAAAGTTCCTTTCCAGCTCTACATCTAGGATCACCTAATCCTTTGCTACATCCCCAGACAGCTGAGTTACCTTCCTCCAGCTCGTCCATGCTCCCGATTTTGCGGCCTCCATCGATGGTATAGATGTAGCGCACCCCCTGGGGGAGGTTGATATTGTCGGACAGGGAGCGGGTCAGGTCAGCCAGCAAGGCATCGAAGCTGCGGAAGCGGTCAGTGGACACGGCGTACACGATGCCCTTGAAGTAGCGGTCTCCATTACGGTAGAAGCGGACCTTCTTGGCCTTCTTCTCGTTGCTCAGAGCCTGCAAGGTCCGGGTCCGGTAGAAGCTGCAGTGGGCACTGTGGGTAGGGCTGGGAAGCCCATTTAGCCGGGACCCTCGCATGTTCCTGGATGCCTTATCTCTTTCGTCAAAATGTCCAAAATCCAGTTCCATATTGTGGTGGACCTCCGAGACCTGTGGTGGACAGAGTGGGTGGGTGGAGAAGAAAGGCGAGAGTGCAAATGTTAGTCAGGCCCTGGCCCCAATTCTAGGAAGAGATCTTGGCCTGTGACCCCTTCCTTGTTCTTCTCCCTTGGTCTTTCAGGAGCACTTCGGGGAGGGGGACGGGGACCCCCTTGGACAGTGTTTCAAGGAGAGAGAAGCTGCTCACAGCCCCAACCTTTCTAGCAAGTGGCTCACATCAAGTTGAAATTCCAGGCAGATGTTCAGGGCCCCACCCCCACCAACAGCTGTAGAGTAATCCACACCCCCAGCTCAGTTTCCCTGGACAGAAGGGTCCCTTGTCTTGAGTGAAGGAAGTGGTCTCTCAGAGGGATGCCCTGCTTTTTCTCCCCCCCCCCCAGTGCTATTCATGGCATGCTCCCCCAGGATGTGAGCAGATCTGCTTGGAAAAGGGACATTCCTTGGAGAACAGGCTCGGCCTTTGTGCTGGTGAGCTGGGCACACCCTCTCCCCCAGTCTGCCTGGCAATTGCCAAATCCCACTGACATTTCTAGGCAATGGCTGGGAATCGGGGTTTAGGGGCAGGTTGGGAACCCTGGTGGCAAAAGATTTTCCCTTCCCGATGTTCATCCCTACCTAAGGCTGAAGGGATTTCACTGGAAAGCATCATTGCCAATGGCTGGGAGCCCCCCGAAGCAATGCATGCACACGTTTCATTGTTCTGAGCGCCAAGTAATAAGCAGTGGCTGAGTGATGGAGATCTGGCTTCTGGACCACCCCCCTCCCCTCTTTGGGCAAAACCTGGGTCAACACCCGCCCCACACACCCACACCCACCTCCCCCCGCACCCCCCTCCCCCAGGCCCTGGAAAAGGCTGGCCTCTTCACACCTCCTTGGAGGCCAGGAAAAAGGAGGGGGTAGGAGATGGAGCTGGGTTGCTCATGGAGCCCCGGGGACTGGGGAGGGGGTCGGGGGTCGGCAGGTGGGGCCCCAATTGCACCCATCCCCAATAACCCAGGAAGATGGGAGGGGGTGCTTAGCATTGTCTCCCCGCACCCCTGCAGCCCATCACAATGCAAAAGACCCCCCCACCCTTCCCACTCCTCAGGAACCTTTCCCCCCCCAACCTGATGCCCCCCCCCCTCCCCAGCTTTACTCATCATCTTAAACTCACGTCCCACCTCCGCGCGCTACAAACAAAGAGACAGCCAACTCACTTTTTCCACAAGAAAATCTCAGGTAGAAGCTGGGGGGTTTGCAATCCTGACAGAATGAAAAGGGAAGGAGAGAGACCCCCCCGGGTGGATGGAGGGTCGGGGGACACAAAGAGACAGCCAGACAGGACAGAGAAGACCAACACACCCACAGATTTTTGCCTCGTGCTTCCCCCCTCGGACATCTGTTACACGCTGCTGGGAAGGAAAGCAGCGCGCGCAGGGAGCGAAGCAGCACTCACCAGGGCTGGGCTGTTGGGTGGAGATGCTGAGAGAAAGAAACCCTCAGCCTTTGTTGTCTGAGCTCCGAGCAAGGAATTCCTGCCAGGGTGGAGAGATGCCTTCTAGGTCCTAGTGCCTTGCCCAACTGCTCCCCGGGAACTGGGGCCCACTGATTCTCCCCTCCCCCCACCCCTGCTTAATCACATCCTTTTTTGATTTTTCCCCAGGGAAAGCTGGGGAGAGACCCACTCCCACTCAAGCTGTATTAATTAACGAATAGCTGGAAAGGCTTTGCTTTTTAAACCAACGGGAAATGCTAGGGGACCACAATGCTGGCCCCAAGGTTTGAGGGAGTAAGGTGCTGGCCTTTTTCAGTCTTGGAGGGGGATGGATGGATAGGGGGGTGGGCACGGAATGAGAAATATTGTTGGCCACACGGAGACCTGATCTGCCTTGGGGAGGTAGGGTGGTGTCCTTCATCCCAAATTCAGTCAAACCAAGCTTCAGAAAATCTCTGCTCATAACCCTTGGGGGTGCCCAGTCAAATTGTCAACGCCTTTTTGCCCCTGAGGAGTGACCATCCCACTGGAAAGGGGGTCCAGAGAAGCCTGTGAAGAGGCTGCCAGCTTTGGGGTAGGATTTGGGACATGCCATCTGTGCTCTTTTACTACAATCCCCATGCTGGCAATCACATTAGTGTAGAGTGTAGACTTGTGGTCACAGCCTAGGCAAGAAAGAACAGTAGAAAGAACACCGAGCCAGGGGTGAGGAGGCCTGGGTTTGAGCTTGGAAGACAAAGACAGCTTCCTGCTTTGTCTCTCCCAGTTAGATGAATGTGAGGAATCAGCAGGGTCACATTCCTGGCCCTCAAGACTTTAGCCTGTTTCAATTGCAGGAGAAATCCAGAAAGGAGACACCTACATCCTTTGCTTCTCTGGTGGCTAAGACTTTTTTGGATAGTGGAGAGTGTAAGTGGGCAGAAGCCCCAAGGGCTCGAGAGCATCTGACCCTGAGCTTGGCTGACAAAATGGCTCCAGAAAACAAGAGGAAGGGCTTTCCTTTGTGAGAAGTAAAGTCAGAGCCCTGGGGAAAAATAGCAAAAAATAGCAAAGGGGGAGGGGCTTTAGGAAGGTCACAGGAATCTAGATTTCTAAAGATTAATTAATCTAGCGCTTTCATGTTACAGGGAAGGAAACAGAGGTCGGGAGACAGACCCAGAGGTCAAGCCAGGGCTGCCTGAGTCCCCTTGGACAGGTAAGTGACTGCAAAATGGGATGGGCAAATGAGGCAGCAAAGAAGTAGAAAGACATCAATGATTATTGTCGCCATTTTATGAAAATCAAGTGACTGTCCCAGGATTGATCATAGAACTAGTGTTGGGTGGGATTTAAACCCAAGTCTTTCCAATATCAAGTCTAGCCCTCCAGGCACTATGCCTCACTGCCTGTACAGTTCTTGTCCATTCCCTCTCAGAAATCTTGCCAGAGCTTCTAGTGAATGTGCTGGGGTTTTCCTCTAGGCCTTATGATGGTCCCTGGACATCAGGGCAGCACTGGAGCTGTCCATCTGTTTTTCTTCACTCTTTATTGCCTGAAGCCTCTTCTCCTTTTCCGAGCAATACATTCCCTGGATGATATCATCTGCATCACTTCTTGCAAGTGAGTCCTTGGTAATATGTACAACCTGATCTGCCTCACCTGGTATGTTTCTCCACTGCCCCTTGCATCACCTATAGTTGAGATTCTTTGAAGCCCTTGATGTTCTAAGATTGGTGGCCATACAGAGGCATCAGAAGATCATAGGTGTTAAAGATAGGTTTTGGTGACAGGATACAGCATGGCATCATGAAAAGATCTGCAAAATTTCCCAAATGCAACTGAGCCTGCTTCCTTCTTCCTAGGCACAATTCTGGGCAAAACTCATTGTCTATCTGCCGTGTATGACCAGCCAGGCAGTCAACAAGCAATCAGTAAGCACTATCTGAAAGGCACTGTGTGAAGCGCCAGAGACACAAGGACCAGCAAAAACAATCCCTGACCTCAAGGAGCCCACAATCTAACGGAGGAGACAGTATGCAAACAACAAAGTCCAAACAAGATGTAGACAGGATACATTGGAGATAGCCTTGGAGGAAAGGTAATAATGTTGAGAAGGACTGGGAAAGGCTTTTTGTAGAAGGTAAGACTTTAGCTGAGACTTGAAGGAAGCCAGGAGGCAAAGATGAGGACGAAGAGCATTCTAGGCAAAGGGGACAGCCAGGGAAAATGCTCAGAGCCAGGACGTGCAGTATCTTGTGGAAGGAATAGCCAGGAGGCCATTGTCACTGGAGAGTAGTGTTAAGAACATTGGGAAGGTAGCAAGGGGCCATGTTATGAAGGGTTTTAAAAGCCAAACAGAGGATTTGTATTTGATCCTGGAGGTGATAGGGAGCCCCTGGAGTTTATTGAGTGAGTGTATATGTGTGTGTGTGTGTGGGGGGGGGTTATGTGATTGGACCCACACTTTAGGAAAATCACTTTGCTGAGTGGAGTTTGGACTGGAGTGAGAAAAGACTTGAGGAAGGGAGACCAACCAGCAGGCCATTGCCATAGGCCAGGTGGGAGGGAATGACACCTAGGTTGGGAGCCTGGGTAACTGGGAGGATAATGATGCCTTTATGGCTGCTGGACCAAATTGTCCTCATCTGCCCATTCCACCAGGGGAAGTCTTCACATGCTTGTGGTGGACACCCCCTAATTTACTGATGGAGTTTGAGGCCTGTCAGTTGCTCTCAACCTGGTTTAGCTGTCTGCCAAGATGGTTTTTACCAGGATGTGGCCACTGCACATGCTACAGCTTCTTGGAGCCACAGGTGAGAGCCAAGTGACCAGTTGGACACCAAAGGGATGAGTTAGAGTGGTCAGTTAGACAAGGAGGAGAAGAACCAGAAGAAGGCAGTGTCACAAAAACCTAGAGTGGAGAGAGTATTAAGGAGAAGAGGGTGATTGATGGTGTTAAAGGCAGCACAGAGGTCAAGATAAGGATTGAGAAAAGGTAGATTTGACAAATAAGAGATTATTGGTGTCTTTGGAGAGAGCATTTTGAATTGAAGGACAAGGTAGGAAGCCAGACTGCAGATGGTTTAGAACAGGATGAGTAGAGAAGCAATGGAGGAGAGGTGGAGGAGGAGAGCTTTCTCAAGGAGTTAGCCATGAAAAATGAGAGATATAGGACAATAGCTAGTGGGGATGGTTGGATCAAATGAGGGTTTCTTTTTAAGGGCGAGGGAGACATAGACATACTTGTAGGCAGCCAGGAAGGATCAAGTATATAGAGAAAGGTAAAATATTAGTGATAGAAGGAGCGGAAAATAGGACGTATTGATATTTGAATTCAATAGACTGCCTATCCAGCTGCATGTCATACTCTGAACAATAGGCAGCCTTCATCCAGCTGGTTTTCCCCATATGGTTTGTCAGGTTCATCTCTTTGGTGTGGTCATGAATTTCACTGAAGAGGTCCTGGAGTCTTCTGGGCTTGCTGCAATCATCATAACATTGTATACAAACAGGACCA